GGACAGGCAGCGCGGTGCCCCCGCCGTGCCCCCGCGCTCCCCCGGGGTGCCCACGCGGGGCTCTGCGAAGGGGAAGTGCGCGGTTGCCGTCTCTGGGCTCGGCACACGGCTTGCAGTACCTTCCTCCCACGAAAACTGCCCCCTCGTCCCGCTCAGCCAAACAAATCGCTCCTCTGCCTTGACTCATTAATGATGGAATCGTATGTAAACGAGGTCGTGCCGTGCTCCGGGATCCCGCCGCTCCGGCCGAGGCATGACCCAGGAGTGCTGGTGGAGCCAGGGGCTGGCAGCGCCCAGTCCCGGGACGGTGAGTGCCCCTGAGTGTTCCTGTGCCCCGGCATGGTGAGTGGCCCTGTGTATCCCTGTGCCCCGGGATGGTGAGTGTCCCTGTGCCCCTGGAGCCGGCTCTCGGCCCCGCTTCTCGAGAGGATTCCCCTCCTCCTCCTCCAGCGAGAGCGCTGCGGAGCCGCCCCTTCCACCGGTTCACCTCGACGGCCGGCTTTAAATCGATTAGCCGGTCTTTTTCTAACAGCTACCTGAATCAACGTGTCCGCCAACGCGGGAACTGTTAATTTGCTATTTGTATTTAAAATGCCGGCGTTCGCGCAGTGTTTTCTAGCTTTAAAACCTCACCGAGGTGTCGAGCTGCTCCTCGTAGCTGGTACGGGCAGGGTCAGGCGAGGTGCTGCACGCCAGGTTACTCTGAGCAGAGGGAGCAATTTTGTCTCCTGTGACACACGGCGTAAGTGCAGATATTTGATGGATGTAACTTTATGCAGTTTTGTTTCTGTTGTACTTTTTTCTGCCTCATGATCCACCTCTAAAATGAAATACAATGCTTTGACATCAGAGACCTAGTCACAGATTCTGGACACCAGAAGAACTTTGAAGATAATTGAAACAATTATTTGATTTGTGGAGACTGTCTTTAGCAGATTTTGAGGCAGTCACATTGCTGCTCTGTCAGACCTTAGACTTAGATTTCAGTTTTAATCTATGTTCCTTTCTCCTAACATTTTTTTTTCTCCTGCTTTCTAATTGTTTTGCTAATATTTTACCCAAAGGTTCTCACTCAAAGCTTGCTTTATCCTGCAGATGTGTTTCCTTGAGGAGGGAGGGGAGGGAGCACTGGAGAGCAGACTCTATTTCTTCCCCTGTAGCATGAAAGATTTTTTTTTTTAACCAGCCTTTAGAAAGAAAGCAAAATTTGTCCTCGGGCAAACTCATGCTTGGTGCAGATTCCTAGAAAGCACTGCTCCTCAGAGTACTGAGGTGCTACTGGCTGTCAAGGCAAGGGGGAAGCTCTTCATCTGGAGCCAAAGAGATGCCATAGCAGAGCCAAGGGGTGTGGCTTTTCATGAGCATTTTTTTCCCCTTTTTTTTCGTGAGAAAAGTGACTTAAAGTTTGTGAATTTGGCTGCAGAGGAGTTTTGTCTTGAACTTGACTGTGCCGTCCCCTTGACTATGAGCACGTTCGTATCAACAAGGACTCGGTTGTAGTTGAACCTTCCCCTCTTGAAAGGGCTTTTTGTAGAAAACTGAGTTCTAACAGCCTGGAGCAGCAGTGCCTTGTGCCCGCAGAGGTGGCTCAGAAGCACACTGGCACGCCTGCGTGGTGTGCAGGATACTTGCCCCATCCCCACTGTGCCTTCCTCACAGCACCTCACCATCCTCACGCTGCTTGCCCCACAGTCCTGGTACCGAGTTACCAGCAAAACTGTACAAAGTGCATGATGATGGTTTGATTAAGCTATGAAACACATTCTCTCCTGACTTATGCATTCTGAGTAATGCCATCAGAGTGCGGCCATGCTGCTGCTAATGAGTTCATCCTTTAACAGTCATACCAGCAGACTTCTGCTTTAGGGATGAGTGATGAGTGAGTGACAGGACAAGGGCTGGGTAACAGGAAGGCAGATGACTTCTATGAAGCGGTGACAGGCGAGTTTCACTTTCCCAGCCTTTGGCACTGCTGTGGGTTTGGCAAAGGGGCAGCTTGCACATTACAGCAGATGCCTTCAGGATGTGCTTGTACTTCCGAGTCCTCACACAGGTTTTTTGCTCACATAGATTTTCATCTTGCTCAGTAACTCCGGTCAGTAGCTGAACGTAGAAATCTTGTGTGCATAAAGGATATTCTTCCAGTACTAGTCTCTGTTTGCCATGCAAGCTGTAAGCAAACGGCAAACAGCAACAATATAAAAATAACCATGTGATGATCTTTTACTAATTTTTGGTGTAATTTTCTTTTTCTTTTCACTTTCCAGGCCATGAACAAGACAGATGGATATTTGCTGATGAACAGAGCCCTGGAAAAGTATTATCTTTCCACTATGTACAGCCTTGAGTTCATTTTGGGCTTCATTGGAAACACCATTGCTGTGTTTGGCTATATTTTCTGCCTGAAAAGCTGGAAAAGTGGCAACATCTACCTGTTCAATTTATCATTATCAGATTTATTATTTCTGTGTACTCTTCCAATACTCATTGACAACTATTCCAGAGATCAATGGGCAAACAAGAGTATCTTGTGCCACAGCAACAGATGCCTGCTGCATGCAAACCTGTACAGCAGTATCCTTTTCCTCACCCTTGTCAGTATTGACCGATACATGGTCATAAAATATCCTTTCAGAGAACACTTTCTACAGAAGAGGAAAACGGCCCTTATTGTGTCTGTTGCCATATGGATTGGGGTGATAGTGGAGTTGCTGCCCTTGGTGTACTTCCTGGAGCCTGTAACACCTGCCAATTATTATGAGTGTCTTGATTATGCAAGCTCTGGAGACCCCACGGAAAGCCTCATCTATAGCATGTTCCTGACTGTCTTTGGGTTCCTTATCCCTCTCGTGATCATGAGCTGCTTCTACATGAAGATGGTTCTTCATCTTAAAACCAGGAGCGAGCAACCCAGCTCCTTCCTGACACTTGAAAAACCCCTTACTTTAGTCATCCTCACAGTGGCTATCTTCTCACTGCTCTTCACTCCTTACCACATAATGCGCAATGTCCGACTCGCTTCCCGAATACCAGCCTTGGAAGCATCTGTGTGCACGAAGGGCATCATCAATACCATTTACATCATCACGAGACCTATTGCGTTTTTGAATAGTGCCATCAACCCTGTTTTTTATTTTTTAATGGGTGACCACTTCAGAGAGATGTTCATGGCAAAAATAAGGCAGTTCTTGAGCAGGTTGAAGACTGGCAGATGATCGGAGGAGACCTCTCGCAGCGGGAGACGGCAGGAGGAGGCTACCTTAGGGAGAGCGTTCACCAATTTACAGTGCCATTTTTTTTTTAGATAACTTTATTTATGCTATAGAATATGTGTGAGCTGATTGTGTTCCTCTGAATGTAACTATTACCTTATTGCACGGGAGACGTCCATCTGCTAATGTGACTCCCAGCAAACCAGGAGCAATGTCTCTCACAACAGCACAGCAGGAAACCATGCTCTCCTATCAGGAAACTTGTGGCCTGTTAATACTGTACATCAAAGATATCATGGTAGCTCTTAGAGGGAAAATACGCTGCTTTCAGATGGCTTCTTTCTGAGCCATAACTTGATGCTCGGCCAGACCTTGGCTTGGATAAAATGTGCCAGGGGCACTAATTCACATGGTTGACACAGTCTGGGGACCAAAGTTGAATCTTCCTTGTATAAGTGTTTGCAAATTATGTCCCCTGGGAGGTTTAACATTCAGAATAAATAACTGGGCCTATTTCCATTTCCAGCTGGTTTGGTGCTGGTTGGCATCTTGGATGTGGCAGGGCATGCCAAGGGCTGGGTGGAATGCTTTGTCAGCATGGTAGGTGGGAGGCGGTGGCTGGGATGCTGGTTTCATTTGTAACGAGTGTGAGCAGGGAGCTAAAATGTTTGGCTTCTGCTCTTACAAAGATTGCCCTGAAGCACTGAGACAGCGAGGACGTGTGCGTGTGCAGACAGGTTACTTCACACTTTGATACCAAAGTTGTATTCAGCTTGCAGAAGTAAAAATAAGAAAAGTTGTTGGTTTAGTTCTTGATACGTACCTGCTTGATAATAAACTCTGCATCCTGTTTAGAAAGAAAAAAGCCTCATTTGTGTTGAGCATTTTGGTCTATGTGCTCTTCTCTTTAACACCTATGAAGCCACTACACCTGGCTTTTTCCTGTTAACGTCAGGAAAAGTCCTGTTAAGGTGAGCAAAATTCCTCATTTGGCTCAGTCTGAGGGATAAAGTGGCTGCTTCCCTCTGCCCTTACCTGACACCAGTACCTGTGGCAGCGTTCTGCTGAGGTGACTGCGACATGTGCTGGGTGCTGGCTTGGGCACCCGTGGGGCACCCGTGGGGATACCCTGAGCTTGGGCTTGGGCTGCTGTTCCCAGTGATGCTGCTGTAGCATCACATGTGTGTTTCCAGCAGTGCTCCCCAAGAAGTTTGCCCTGGGAGGGCTGGTCCTGTCCTGCACAGCAATGCTGCTGGCTAAGCCACGGCTCCCTGGCTCAGCTGGGCTGGGGTTCTCGTGCTGGAGCTCCATAAACTGCTAAACCGTTCTGTCAGGGGTGGAAAAAGCTCCATCGTGTGTTAGGCAACATGACCCAGGAGAGATAAGGCTGCACCTCAGCTTCCACTGTAAAAATCTTCTGCTTTTTAAGGACCATAGTACTATCACCAGGATGCAATTATTCAGCTGGGTGTGACATTGCACATGTTCTTCCCCAAACAGAGGAAACTAAGAGCAGACTTTCCAAAAGCAGGTTGAATATTCCTTTTTTTAAAGTCAGATTCTAACTCACTAAAGAGGATTTTTTTTTCCAGGGGAAGTGCAATACAGTAATAAATATTAAGCTGAAACACCTTTAGTAGACTTACCTTTGCCTTTTTTGCAGTGGACAGAACAGGACTTTTCAAATAAATGTTTATTTCCTAAAGCTTTGGGGCTTTCCTGTATTAGCTAAATGGCTTCTTGTGAATGAACTTATGTGAGGCACAAGGGGGGTTGGTGGGTTTTGTTTTTTTCCAGTATGTACCTAAACCCAGAGCAGAAGAGGATAGCCCAGACACCCGGACGTGCTGTTTCCATTTCATTTTTTTCCTGCATTAGAGATTTGTGGTTGTCAGCCTCTACATCTATATTTGCTTTCACTGCTGCCCTCCATCATAGGCTTGAGAGAGAATGTGGGGAGAGAAACTGTGCGTTTTCCAGACAAATCCACTTTCTGTTTAACCTGATGTCTGTCTCGTGTAGGAATCTGCCAAGCCACATGCAATGCCTATTGCTCCCTAAGGAAATTTGTTTCAACTTCTGCTCAGTGATCACCTAGCAGAGTTATTCTTGAGATGAGTGTGATGAAGTGATGAATACTATAATGCTGGAGTAGCAGAGCCAGTTCTACTGGCAGCCCGTGCAGAGCTCCTGGGCTTATGTAGGCGGCTTCTTGGCCAGAGGCTCATCAAGGTTCCCACTCCGGGACTGTCACAAGTGATGCCCATCACAGGCAGCTTCCACGTGCTCTTCCTTCTCAGTAGCAGTGTTTGCTGGTGGCTGCCACTGTTCTCTCAGGGTATAGGAACCTCCTGCTTCACCTTTGGATGTCACGAGGCAGTTCCGTGGCACCGCTGTCCCTTTCCTCCCCATCATGACATGCTGGGTGGTGAGATGGCAGCAAGCCCTGGCCTTGCAGGCGCCGTCTCAGCATTCGGACCTCGGCTGCCAATGGGGAAGGGGCTGTGGGCTGGAGGTAGGAGAAGGCAGAGGAAAATTACCCACTCTTCAGAAAATACCTTGTGCAGCACTCGGCTCACGTGGTGCTGGCAGCCCAGCCCCCCAGCAGCCGTGTGTGCAGGAGGGTAGGGGAGGTCAGGCGGCTGCCTGAGGCCCATTGCACTGGACATGGCAAACACCTATTTAATTAGGCCTTTGTGAATCTGAACTGGTGAGTCACAGGCAAATTCTAATGAGATTAGAGAGCACATCTGCCCCTTCACAGAGCATGTGGGATGGCCTGGCTTGTTGGGGGAGCGCAGCTGGCCCTGCCTGGTGCTTGATATGGGGGATAGTAATGACAACACCTATGTTAGATGTGAGCAGATCAGAGATCTGATGCTCATGGTGGCGGAAGAATTAAAAGAACTAAAAGAAGAAGTGGAAAAAACTGAGAACTACAAGATACTGTGAAAGGGAA